CCCAGCTCTGAGGAGCTGGATGAGATTTTCGCCTTATAATTGGTGATACACACGTAACATGTACCTTATATGCCACCTTTATATCAACAATGTATCTCTTAAATCTTCTGTACCATATTATGTAATAAAATATTCCTATTGGTAAAAAAAATATATACTAAAAGATGGGGTGGTAGGGGAAGTGGAATATTCAAACGGCTTCAGGAAGAAATCCAAATATTCTTCCTTGAAGCCTTTTTATGCACTTCTCCGAGGCTATGGGTCCCACAATTTACACCAGAGGTGGACCCCATCCTATAATATATATATATATATATATATATATATATATATATATATATATATTTATATATATATATATATATATATATTTATATATATATATATATATATTAATATATATATAAATGCCAAATCCAAATAAAATATAATCTATATTATATCATTATCTTCTATCTTATCTATTCTATCTTATCATCTATATTATATATATTATTTAGATATTATAATATATTATAATAATATATAGATAAGAGGTACCAACCTCTAGAACTGTCCCCGGGGGACCTCATCTGCGCAGAAAAGAGTAAACTTGCTTCAGGAAAACTCAAGGTTCTCCCTGAAAGCTGTTGTGAATTTTCTCATACCACCACCATACTTGATATATATTTATTTGAAGACAAAACACGTTGACAAAACATTCACAAAGATACAATAGAAGTAAACAACATAGGTAACTCAGAGCTACTTCTCGAATACTTCGTCCAACTCCCGGCGGTGGGCCGTGTGCCCAGAATGCTGCAGGCATTTCCTCTCTGGATCGCAACACTGAGTCTCTGAAGAGAAGCTGGTCGCCATGTGATCCTTGGGCTTCTATGGATGAGGCTTTCACCCAGCCTTTGAGGAACTTTAGAGCACACTTGCCCCATGCTCAGGGCTCCGACCCTATTGGGATGAAGTATGAAGCAAGGGGGAAGTTCTTCATATTTGGGATCTTTGGGTCCTGTAGCTGGCAGCTCACCCCTTCCACTACGGAGTATGGCAAGTAGGTGTCTGCCAATGGAGGCACAGGTGTAGTCTCAGCAATCATGCTTTCCATCCTTCCAAGGTAGCATAGTGGCTCCATCAGGACGCTTTTGACTTCCGACAGACCTCTGCACTTGGGGTTTCCCCGTTGAGCTGGGCAACGGGCTGTGGCGAGGCTTCTCTTTATGATGTCATTGACCTCCTCATGTCTGGCATACTTCCCTTCTGCAGTGTGACACACGAGACCATGAAGTTCGATATATATATATATAATATATATATATATATTATATATATATATATATATATATATATATATATATATATATATATATATATATATATAAAATATATATATATGCAATAAGATCACAGTAAACAGGTGATTTCAGAATATGCAAAACACCACTCTGAAAGAATAGAGAAATTCCAAGCGCTTTCGTGACTACTCACATTATCAAGGAACTATGAAAGTAAAGCATCAAGAAGCTATATAAGGGGTCTGGCCGGCACCCACTATCAGATCCCACAACGGTTAAATACCTGACGCGCGCCCGACCCAACTTGGATAGGTGAGTTGTGCCAAGGACCTATCCAAGTTGGGTCGGCGCGCGTCAGGTATTTAACCGTTGTGGGATCTGATAGTGAGGTGCCGGCCAGACCCTTATATAGCTTCCTTGGATGCTTACTTTCATAGTTCCTTGATAATGTGAGTAGTCACGAAAGCGCTTGGAATTTCTCTGTTCTTTCAGAGTGGTTGTTTTGCATATATAAAATATATATATATAATAATATATATTATATATTATATATATAATATATATTTCCCTGAAGTAGGTAGTTTATTCTTTTCTCTGAGGATGAGGGGTCCCCAGCACAGCTCCAGAGGTGGTACGGTGAGGGTCCGGGTTCGATTCCGGCGAAGGGGTGGAAACATCGGACTTACACATCAGTAAAATGGGTATTTGGGTGTTAGTCGACTGTTGTGGGTCGCATCCTGGGACAAAAGTGACCTAATTTGCCCGAAATGCTCTGCATAACAAGGGGCTTTTTATATAGTAATACGTCATTGATATTATTATGTATCTGTAATCTTTTGACTACCGCCCACAGGATGGATATGGGGTACATAATAAAGTTTATTCAGATATACACAAATACAGTTACACATATTATCATACATAGCAGCATATGTGTAGAGAACCTAGGATAACCCAAAAAAGTCAGAGTGACTTATTTCCATGGGGTAAAACTAACATTGATGTCAGCTAGGTCTGTATACCTTGTACATGTACCTGTAATAAATAAAGATATTATATATGCAATAAGATCACAGTAAACAGGTGATTTTAGAATATGCAAAACAACCACTGTGAAAGAATAGAGAAATTCCAAGAGCTTTCGTGACTACTCACATTATCAAGGAACAATTGTTCCTTTATATATATATATATATATATATATATAATATATATATATATATATATTTTATATATATATAATATATATATATATATATGTATATATATATATATATATATATATATATTATATAATATATATATATATATATATGTATATAAGTATATGTGTAAGTGTATGTGTATGTGGTGGCCCGTGTGGCTAAAGCTCCCGCCTCACACACGGAGGGCCCGGGGTCGATTCCCGGCGGGTGGAAACGTTTCGACACGTTTCCTTACACCTGTTGTCCTGTTCACCTAGCAGCAAATAGGTACCTGGGTGTTAGTTAACTGGTGTGGGTCGCATCCTGGGGGACAAGATTAAGGACCCCAATGGAAATAAGTTAGACAGTCCTCGATGACGCACTGACTTTCTTGGGTTATCCTGGGTGGCTAACCCTCCGGGGATTAAAAATCCGAACGAAACCTTATCTTATCTTACGTGCATAAAATTACCTGACCTGAGTGAGTGAGAGGGAGGGGAGGGGAAAGAAGGGTTAGTGCACATACAGACTTTTATTATCTTTTGACTAAGGCAGATCTTGTACGTTTGCCATTATTGACTTTGTGTGAGACAGCCTTGATGGTAACTGTGTGAGAAAATATCAAGACCGCAAAACATCACTTCTCCAGGCGTGGTCAGAGACATGTTTTTCCCACACATCTATATTTAGCTGACAACAAGAACAGTTGTCACCGTGGGCACTACCACCTGTAATTTTTAATGAAACGAGAGACGAATTACAAAATTAGAAAGTAATTGAGGAAGCTATTTGACAAGGTCATTAAAATGGTGTTCAAATATTTGTTCAAAGATTTGTTAAAGAGAAAGATAAGTGAAATATGGTGATAACAAATGTGGCAATACTGGAATAACTTAAGTGGGGATAGGTGAGGTACTAAGGGTCAAGTGAGGTGATAGAGGTCACTGGAGGTCAGTTGGGAGTGTGAAGCACTGGTAGGCAACTGACACGCTTTGCCCCTCACACAACAATGACTGGTAAGATTACATTTGGCTGTTAAGTATTATATTCAGGAAACGCCAAACCTGTAGGGGTTCCTACAGTTCCTGTGAAATAGGTGATAAGGTTTGATCTAAGTAAAGGGTAGGTAGCTCCATTATTATTATAATCATGGGGAAGCGCTAAACCCGTATTATTATAATCAAAGGGGAAGCGCTAAACCCATAGGATTATACATTATTATAATCATGGGTAAACGCTAAACCAGTAGGATTATACAGCGCCTGTAGGGGCGGGATGGAAGGTATTCAGGCCTAATTCACTAATTCAGGGAACTGGAGCACAGATCCAGTTCCCTAGAGCCCCTCAAGGAACCTCCATTGAGGGAAGGGCAGCTCCAGTTCCTTGAATCTAGAACTTTTCACCAGTATCAAGGCACTTTCACTTAAAAGGTCATTTGGATCAAGACCCTGATTATAATTCTATCCATGGGGAAGTGCTAAACCCCTAGGAGTCATTAAAGTGCCTGGAGAATGGGGAGCAACCAGGTTTGTTTCAAGAAAATGTAGGATAAGCCACATTCCTTGTATTAAGAAAATATCCGGCATCAAGGAATCGTCTTAAAGGTTCAACCCCTTGAACAAAGTTGATTAGTTTGTTCAACAGGGTGAAGATGACACTTTAAAAATAGTTTATATTCATGGAGGGAAAGGTGTGGAAGAACGTTCAACTTGAAGGAACTGTTAATCACACAGCATCTGAGGAAATTTGGGGCAGTTAGGTTCGATCCAAGAAAGAGGAAGGGCATATCCACGTCCTTGATTATTATTATTATAATCAAGGGGAAGCGCTGAACCCGTAGGATTATACAGCGCCTGGGGGGGGGGAAATGTGGAAGGTATTCAGGCTTAATTCGGGGAACTGGAGCACAGATTCAATTCCCTAAATCAAGAGCCCCTCACCAACATCAAGGAACCTTCCCTGAGGGGTCCACGTCCTTTAATCAAAAGTCCCTCACCGTCATCAAAGAACCCCACTTTAAGGAGTCATTATCACTAGTTATTATATTTAGGGAAGTGCGCTACACCCGTAGGGGTCGTGAATGGGAGGCAATCAGGTTCGATCCAAGGAAAGGACGATCAGGTCCAATTCCTTAGATCGAGGTCCCTCGCCAACCAAAATGATGTAACGTGTGTACTGCTAAGGACAGTTTTGAGTGGCGATGAGGAAGCCTCAGTTGACGAGGGAAGGCTGTATTTTTCCTAACCATACCACGGGTGGGGTTTGAACCCGCGATCAGTATCTCAAAACTCTTGATCGCAGGTTCAAACCCCACCCGTGGTATGGTTTGTTTGCAATCGTGTCATTACGATTTCGTGAGTCATGCATTTTTCCTGTTCTGTTCTTTCATGTTCTGATATTCTGGATAAAATAAATAAATTATATATTTATTTATTTATATATTTATTTTAGGCAGTAAGCAATGGAGATTTACAAGGGAGGAAAATGAACAAATTGATAAGACATGTAGGTGGTTAATTTGCAGCCCTTAAGCCTACTACTCAACTAGACGTGTTTGAGGAATTAACTCCAGCTCCGGGATATGCTAATCACGTAGCTATTGAGAAGGTTGAGTTCTAGTTTCCAAACTTTCAATTCTCCCAGTTTGTGTGCTGAGCATCAGCTCCTGAGCTTATTATTTACATGTCCAGCTTTTTCGAAAATAGAGCTCAAATTTCCCCTACCTTAACTGCATTGACGTATATGTTAGTTAGTTTAGTTTAATATCTTTATTATGCACCCCATACCCATCCTGTGGGAGGTAGTCAAGATTACAGACGTATATGGTCTCTCATATTGTTTAAACTCGCTCTCAACTTATCCATCACAACTACCTTACCACAATTCTTTAACATGGAAGACAAAGAAACATGTGAGAAAAGCGGAGAAAATAATTCTAAGGTTTTACTTTCCCTGAAGGGTATGCCAAGATAACTTGAGAATGTTTTTCCTGAACAGCTTCAAACTATAAGTTCTGATGCATTTAACTGATAGAAAGGTTCACCATATTTTTAGCCCATTTAAATAAGGATTTACCAATTTTCAAACAACTGAAAGTGTAGAATATTGGGTTTTGTGGAATTACTAAAGTATGCCTCTTCTGATCAGCTTCAAGTTTTTAGTGCTGGTGTACAGTATTTTGCTTCAAGGAAGGTTTGTATTGTGACTGGAGTGTACAAGTCTTAATTTTTCAATTTTATTAAAAAAAAAATTGTGTTAACTTAAGAATACCTCGTCTGTGTTAGTTACCATTTTGTCCTAGGCACATGTCGATTAGACACTAGTCCTGTTGTACTCACCTATTTATGGTTGCAGGGGTCGAGTCTTAGCTCCTGGCCCCGCCTCTTCACCGGTTGCTACTGGGCCCTCTCTCTCCCCGCTCCATGAGTCTTATCAAACCTCGTCTTAAAACTGTGTATGGTTCCTGCCTCCACTACGTCATTCTCGAGGCTATTCCACGGCCTGACAACTCTATGACTGAAGAAATACTTCCTAATATCTCTCTGACTCATTTGTGTCTTCAACTTCCAATTGTGGCCTCTTGTTTCTGTGTCCCCTCCCTGGAACATCCTGTCTTTGTCCACCTTGTCTATTCCACGCAAAATTTTATATGTCGTTATCATGTCTCCCCTGACCCTCCTGTTCTCCAGTGTCGTCAGGCCGATTTCCCTTAATCTTTCTTCATAGGACATTCCCCTTAGCTCTGGAACTAACCTTGTCGCAAACCTTTGTACTTTCTCCAGTTTCTTGACGTGCTTTATCAAGTGCGGGTTCCAAACAGGTGCTGCATACTCCAGTATGGGCCTGACATACACGGTGTACAGTGTCTTGAACGATTCCTTACTAAGGTATCGGAATGCTGTTCTCAGGTTTGCCAGGCGCCCATATGCTGCAGCAGTTACCTGGTTGTGTGCTTCCGGAGACATGCTCGGTGTTATACTCACCCCAAGATCTTTCTCCTTGAGTGAGGTTTGCAGTCTTTGGCCACCTAGCCTATACTCTGTCTGTGGTCTTCTGTGCCCTTCCCCTATCTTCATGACTTTGCATTTGGCAGGATTAAATTCGAGAAGCCATTTGCTGGACCAGGTGTCCAGTCTGTCCAGGTCTCTTTGAAGTCCTGCCTGATCCTCATCTGATTTAATTCTCCTCATTAACTTCACATCATCTGCAAACAGGGACACTTCTGAGTCTAACCCTTCCATCATGTCGTTCACATATACCAAAAATAGCACTGGTCCTAGGACCGACCCCTGTGGGACCCCGCTCGTCACAGGTGCCCACTGTGATACATCATTACATACCATGACTCGTTGTTGCCTCCCTGTCAGGTATTCTCTGATCCATTGCAGTACCCTTCCTGTTATATGCGCCTGATGCTCTAGCTTCTGCACTAATCTCTTTTTTTTTTGTTATTGAAGTTGAATTTGGTGAATGCTCCCTCGTGACTAATCTCATTATGTTGGTCTGGGGCTCCACGCATGCATGTCTGAACCTCAAGTATGCTGTGATCTGAGTATATTGCTTTTTATATGGTGACATTTCGTATCAGATCATCATTGTTAGTGAAGATGAGGTCTAGTGTATTCTCCAGTCTAGTAGGCTCTATTATTTGCTGGTTTAAATTGAATTTTGTGCAGAGATTTAAAAGCTCGTGTGAGAGTTTTCATCAGAGCTGCCTCACTGGTCGCTACTAGGTCACTCTCCCTGAACCATGAGCTTTATCGTACCTCTGCTTAAAGCTATGTATGGATCCTGCCTCCACTACATCGCTTCCCAAACTATTCCACTTCCTGACTACTCTGTGGCTGAAGAAATACTTCCTAACATCCCTGTGATTCATCTGTGTTTTCAATTTCCAACTGTGTCCCCGTGTTGCTGTGTCCAGTCTCTGGAAAATCCTGTCATTGTCCACCTTGTCAATTCCTCTCAGTATTTTGTAAGTCGTTATCATGTCCCCCCTATCTCTCCTGTCCTCCAGTGTCGTCAGGTTGATTTCCCTTAACCTCTCCTCGTAGGACATGCCTCTTAGCTCTGGGACTAGTCTTGTTGCAAACCTTAGCATTTTCTCTAGTTTCTTTACATGCTTGGCTAGGTGTGGGTTCCAAACTGGTGCCGCATACTCCAATATGGGCCTAACGTACACGGTGTACAGGGTCCTGAACGATTCCTTATTAAGATGTCGGAATGCTGTTCTGAGGTTTCCCAGGCGCCCATATGCTGCAGCAGTTATTTGGTTGATGTGCCTGGTGTTATACTCACCCCAAGGTTTTTTTCTTTGAGTGAGGTTTGTAGTCTCTGGCCCCCTAAACTGTACTCTGTCTGCGGTCTTCTTTGCCCTTCCCCAATCTTCATGACTTTGCATTTGGTGGGATTGAACTCCAGGAGCCAATTGCTGGACCAGGTCTGCAGCCTGTCCAGATCCCTTTGTAGTTCTGCCTGGTCTTCGATCGAATGAATTCTTCTCATCAACTTCACGTCATCTGCAAACAGGGACACCTCAGAGTTTATTCCTTCCGTCATGTTCTTCACAAATACCAGGAACAGCACTGGTCCTAGGACTGACCCCTGTGGGACCCCGCTGGTCACAGGTGCCCACTCTGACACCTCGTCACGTACCATTACTCGCTGCTGTCTTCCTGACAAGTATTCCCTGATCCATTGTAGTGCCTTCCGTTATCCCTACTTTGGTCCTCCAGGTTTTGCACTAATCTCTTGTGTGGTACTGTGTCAAACGCCTTCTTGCAGTCCAAGAATATGCAATCCACCCACCCCTCTCTCTCTTGTCTTACTGCTGTCACCTTGTCATAGAACTCCAGTAGGTTTTTGACACAGGATTTCCCATCCCTGTAACCATGTTGGCTGCTGTTGATGAGATCATTCCTTTCTAGGTGTTCCACCACTCTTCTCCTGACAATCTTCTCCATGACTTTGCATACTATACATGTCAGTGACATTGGTCTCTAGTTTAGTGCTTCATGTCTGTCTCCTTTTTTAAAGATTGGGACTACATTTGCTGTCTTCCATGCCTCAGGCAATCTCCCTGTTTGGACAGATGTATTGAATAGTGTTGTTAGGGGTACACATAGCACCTCTGCTCCCTCTCTCAGGACCCATGGAGAGATGTTATCTGGCCCCATTGCCTTTGAGGTATCTAGCTCACTCAGAAGCCTCTTCACTTCTTCCTCGGTTGTGTGTACTGTGTCCAGCACCTGGTGGTGTGCCCCACCTCTCCGTCTTTCTGGAGCCCCTTCTGTCTCCTCTGTGAACACTTCTTTGAATCTCTTGTTGAGTTCCTCACATACTTCACGGTCATTTCTTGTTGTCTCTCCTCCTTCCTTCCTTAGCCTGATTACCTGGTCCTTGACTGTTGTTTTCCTCCTGATGTGTCTGTATAACAGCTTCTGGTCAGATTTGGCTTTCGCTGCTATGTCGTTTTCATATTGTCGTTGGGCCTCCCTTTTTATCTGTGCATATTCGTTTCTGGCTCTACAACTGCTCTCCTTATTCTCCTGGGTCCTTTGCCTTCTATATTTCTTCCATTCCCTAGCACACTTGGTTTTTGCCTCCTTGCACCTTTGGGTGAACCATGGGCTCATTCTGGCTTTTTCATTATTCCTGTTTCCCTTGGGTACAAATCTCTCCTCAGCCTCCTTGCACATTGTTGCTACATATTCCATAATCTCATTAACTGACTTCCCTGCCAGTTCTCTGTCCCACTGAACCTCGTTCGGGAAGTTCCTCATTCCCATGTAGTCCCCTTTCTTGTAGTTTGGTTTCATTTGTCCTGGCCTTCCTGTTTCCCCTTCCACTTGTAGCTCTACTGTGTATTCGAAGCTCAAAACCACATGATCGCTGGCCCCAAGGGGTCTTTCATATGTGATGTCCTCAATATCTGCACTACTCAAGGTGAATACTAAGTCCAGTCTTGCTGGTTCATCATCTCCTCTCTTGTAGTGTCCCTTACGTGTTGGTACATGAAGTTTTCCAGTATCACCTCCATCATCTTAGCCCTCCACATTTCTTGGCCCCCATGTGGCTCCAAGTTCTCCCAGTCGATCTCCTTGTGGTTAGAGTCACCCATGATCAGGAGCTTTGCCCTGCATGCATGAGCTCTTCTGGCCACTGCAGCCAGTGTGTCGACCATCGCTCTATTGCTCTCGTCATACTCTTGCCTTGGCCTCCTGCTGTTCTGTGGTGGGTTATACATCACTGCAATTACCACCTTGGGACCTCCAGAGTGAAGCGTTCCCGCTATGTAATCACTCTCTTCTCCGCTGTCTCCTCTCTCCAGCTCATCAAAATTCCATCGGTGTTTGATCCGCCCCCCCTGTTCCTTCTGTCTTTCCTCAGGATCTGGTATCCCGTTGAAAGGATGGCATCTGTTATCATACCTGTAAGCTTGGTCTCTGTGAGCGCTATGATGTCCGGTGATGCCTCTTTTGACTCTTTTGCGCCACTCCTCCCACTTGTTTGTTATTCCATCAGCATTTGTGTACCATACCTTCAGTTTCCTTTCCAACACTGTGGTTTGGGGGGCCTGTAGGGGTGGGAGACCTGGTAGCATACTGTGGGATTCTATGGTTGGGGGTTGGGTGGAAGCTGTGGGTATGGATTGTAGTGCGTGTTGGGATGGTGTGATAGGTTGCTTGGTTCTGAGGATAGTTGTGTGTGTGTTTGCGTTTGTGTGTGTGTGTGTGTGTGTGTGTGTGTGTGTGTGTGTGTGTGTGTGTGTGTGTGTGTGTGTGTGTGCATGCATTGCGTGTCTCACCTTATTGTACTCACCTAATTGTGGTTGCAGGGTCGAGACTCAGTTTCCTGGCCCTCCCCTTCACTGAGCACTACTAGGTCCTCTCCCTCTCTGCTTCCTGAGCTTTGTCATACCTCTTCTTAAAACTATGTATGGTTCCTGCCTCCCCCACTTCACTTGCTAGGCTATTTCCCCTTCCTGACGACTCTATGACTGAAGAAATACTTCCTAACGTCCCCGTGACTCGTCTGAGTCTTCAGCTTCCAGTTTGTGACCCCTTTTTTTTGTGTCCCCTCTTGGAACATCCTATCTCTTGTCCACCTTGTCTATTCCCCCCAGTATCTTGTATGTCATTATCATGTCTCCCCTGACCCTTCTGTCCTCCAGTGTCGTCAGTCCGATTTCCCTCAACCTTTCCTCGTACAACATTCCCCTGAGCTCTGGGACTAGCCTTGTTGTAAACCTTTGTACTTTCTCTAACTTCTTGACGTGCTTGACCAGGTGTGGGTTCCAGACTGGTGCTGCATACTCCAGTATGGGGGCCCAACATACACAGTGTTTCAGTGTCTTGAAACAATTCCTTATTAAGGTATCGGAACGCTATTCTCAGGTTTGCCAGATCCCGTATGCTGCAGCAGTTATTTGGTTGTGTGCCTCCGGTGACGTGCTCGATGTTATGGTCACCCCAAAGTCTTTCTCCCTGAGTGAGGTCTGTAGTCTTTGTCCACCTAGCCTTTACTCTGTCTGCGGTCTTCTTTGCCCCTCCCCAATCTTCATGACTTTGCATTTGGCAGGGTTGAATTTGAGAAGCCAGTTTCTGGACCAGCCTGTCCAGGTCTCTTTGCAGTCCTGCCTCATCCTCATCTGATTTAATTCTTCTCATCAACTTCACATCATCTGCGAATAGGGACACTTCAGAGTCTATTCCTTCCATCACGTCGTTCGCATATATCAAAAATAGCACTGGACCTAGAACCGACCCCTGTGGGACCCCGCTCATCACAGGCGCCCACTGTGATACCTCTTCAGGTACCATGACTCGTTGTTGCCTCCCTGTCAGGTATTCCCCGATCCATTGCAGTGCCCTCCCTGTTATATGCGCCTGATCCTCCAGCTTCTGCACTAATCTCTTGTGGGGAACTGTGTCAAAGGCCTTCCTGCAGGCTAGGAAAACACAATCAACCCACCCCTCTCTCTCGTGTCTTACTTCTGTTACCTTGTCATAAAACTCCAGAAGGCTTGTGACACAGGATTTGCCTTCCATGAACCCATGCTGGTTTTCATTTATAATCTTGTTCCGTTCCAGGTATTCCACCACTCTCCTCCTGATAATCTTCTCCATGACTTTGCACACAATACATGTCAGAGACACAGGTCTGTAGTTTAGTGCCTCATTTCTGTTTCCTTTCTTAAATATGGGGACTACATTTGCTGTCTTCCATTTCTCAGGTAGTTGCCCAGTTTCAAGGGATGTGTTGAAGATTGTGGTTAGGGGCATGCACAGCATCTCTGCTCCTTCTCTAAGGACCCATGGGGAGATGTTGACCGGTCCCATCGCCTTTGAGGTATCAAGGTCACTTAGCAGCTTCTGCACCTCCTCCTCGGTTGTTCGTATGTCATCCAACACTTATTGGTATATTCCTTCTTGATGTTCCCTTCTGTGCTGTCTTCCCAAAGCCCTTCCTGTCTCTACTGTAAAAACTTCCTTAAATCTCCTGTTTAGCTCCTCACATACCTCCTGATCATTTCTTGTGAGTTCTCCACCTTCTGTTCTCAGTCTGATCACCTGGTCTTTGACTGTTGCCTTCCTCCTGATGTGGCTATACAACAGTTTCGGGTCAGTCTTGATTTTTGATGCTATGTTATTTTCATACTGTCGCTTAGATACATTCACTCTGAAAATATAAATAAAATACCTTGATATGTACTTCTGTACACTTTGCCAGTTGAATTCAGCACTACCAGTATGGTGTCACTCATGAGCAATGAGACTCCAACACTCATCAATTGAAACTGGTACGTATTTCAATGTAGATCATACGTGGCTAACTTTTTAAGCCACGTGTTATACCAAAAGATGGTGACAAATAATTAGGGAATTTCATGAATTGCTGCAGCTTCATATACTGTATCTTCATATTTTTTTGTAAAATAAAATTTTAGATAATGATTTTTTATTTTTTTTTCATTTATAATATACTTTGTGTTCATTTACAATCAGCAATCCTTGCCCTGTGCTGTAATCTTAATATATTCAGTAGATGAACTGGTACAAACGACAAATTTTCAATAGCTCATCTCAACAACTTTGTTGTGATTTTTTTGAAGCCATTATATTTGATTAAATTTTTATATTAAATGTCCCAACAGAAACAAAAATTCAAACAGTATATCTCAGTGTGGTGACTGGTGCACAAACACAGGTGTCACTCACCTCAGGAATGGAGAAATGTTGATGAGACAGGTACACTATATGTATAGAGATAAAAAATGAAAAACAAACAAGAATTAGTTTTATGACAATAGAGAACACAATTATTTAAATCTAAGTAACAGTTACTTTGTTTTCAGGTTTCCATTTAATTGTGGCAGTGCTAGTGCTGAATGTGTTCATGGTTGCCACTCAAGCTCAATGGCCCTTTCACTACCCAACACACACATACAATACAAGGTATAGGCCAGCACAAACCACACAATCCACTGATAAGAATTACAGTTTCCATTACCATTCCAATGTGTCAGTTAGGTCAAAATTCCAAACACAGTCTCCTACTCAGCAGTATCATTATTCAGTTCAATTCCCTGGCCACAGATACCACTCTGCTCAGTACCCTGTCCAGAGATATTATTTTTCAACTCAACCAAGCATACACACTTGCCATTTTACATCTCGGTCTCCGCCACTGTATACCTCCAACCAACAACCAAGGAGGATACAGGTTTCAAACCTGTCTACTTTGTATTTTCACAGAGGACACCAGCCTGTAAGGTACCCATCACAGATTACAATATTACAGCAGTCTCTCAACCTCCAACAACCTACCCACTACTCCACGCACCAGCTTGTCAATCTGCTACCTAAACACAATCACACTCATCAGCTTGAAAGACCCCAACATTCTGCACATAACTTCACTAATGAACTTGTAAGCCCCCAACAACCTACTCATAACCATGGTCATCAGCCTAGCAATGCCAAACAACAAACACATGAAACAACCATTCACCTTGCAAGCTCCCAACCACCTAAACAAAGGCTCACTTTTAAGCCTGTTAGTCCTCAACAACCTGTATCTAATAACACTCATCATCATATCAGCTCCCAAGAACCTGTACATAATCACACTCATCAGCCTTTAGAAGAACAGCAATATGGATATCACCTTGATGAAAAAACTACTACAGCGACACAACAACAGTTCGGACATCATCTCACTCAACAGCCAGTCTGGAAACAGCATCCATATCATCATGTTCAGCCTTCAGAGAAAAGATTCAAATCATCATGGTACTTGCAACCTTATCGCATCAGGTATGTTCTGGCGGCATTTTAACGTATTTGTTTTCTGGTGGCAATGTGTAAAATGGTTGCATGGTAATGTCAGTGCTTTTTGGTACCAGTTTTAAAGTGTACTGACAATTTTAACAAAGAAATTTCGAATGACTACTTGTACAGGGAGGCCCCGCTTATACAGCAGGTTAGGTTCTGGGCTACTGCTATAAAGTGAAATGTAGCCTATTTTCACTTTCAAATGCATATACAAATCTGATAACATGTTTACACTCTATCATATACTAAGTGAGCAATAGAGCTAAGCCTAAAAAATGTAAATACAGTACACACATTACTTACCTTAAAATATTTTTGTCTTTGCCTTATATTGAGTGGTGAATATATTTATTGTAGGGGAGTCTGAATAAATGAAGAATGGGTATAACTGAAAACTGCTGCAATAGCATAATGCCGTAAGGGAAAGCACTGTAAAGCAGGGCCCTCCTGTACTTTACTATACATATATGATTAGATATTGTGGAAAGCAAAACGTGATTCCAATTTATTAACTAATATAAATTGTGAATAATAATAATTACATACTATAATTGTTAACAATTTATAGTGAATATTTAAAAATATAAAAATGAAGATAACCAATCAAACTTTTTAGAAATTTAATGAACATTTGCTTATGATATCACGTAAAATTGTGAGTGGTGACATTTTGTTCATCAGGAAACAGCATAGTGTCATATGAACATGGTTTTATTCATATGATGTCTTGTTAAGCAGTTAGGCTTCTGGCCTGTAAGAGTATTCTAAAAATAATACTTGCAGGCATGCTTAAACAATTTTTTTTTCATTCGTTGGATAGGCACTAGCATTCATAGCAGATGTGATGTACAGTAATTGATTACTGGTTAGATTAAGTATGTCAGGACATGAACAGTGATTGGTTAGTTGTTCTCAGAGTATAAAATTGACCTTGGCTACAAAGTAGATTGACTGGTTATGACACTACCTCACTGAAACACTCCTCCAGCAGTAAGCCCTCAACCAGTCTGGAACATTATTGCTACAGGAAATTATGGCTATTATAATAATTGAAAAATATACTACATGTTAGATTACATCACAAAGCATCTGTACAGTACCTACCTGTGTTTGTCGTTCTACAGACTGGAGAGTGGAGTAACATCCAGTAAAAGAAAAAAAAAAAAAGTCATGTAGACGTGTTTTTAACTGTACAGAGGTATGAAATTTTGTAAATAGACAAGTCTTAATTATTGTTATGAATTAAAAAATAATTTAAATTTTTATAACACCTCTAAAACCTATCTAAAATTTTAACCTAATTATTACTCAGTGGGAAGCAATAAACCCTTAAATGTTGATACAGTTAAATTTAGAATCCTTCAGCAGTTATCACTATAATTCGTGGTGTCTTAAAAAAATGGCCAGAGAATATATATGACACTTTTTAAGCCTTTTGATAAAACTGATGTGTGAATATTAATAAATGTAAGGTTTATTGATTCACAGTTAATGGAATTCTTGATGGTTGAGCAAATTATCAGTAACCTTGTTACAAAATTCTGGCAATAATTCCTTTTAAATTGATAAAGGGCAAAGTTTTGCAAATGAAAATTTCAGAAATAAATTTTTGTTTCAGAGAAGTTGTCCTTTACAGTTGCAGTCATTCTTGGAACCATTAATTCACAATTTAGAATTTTTTGACATGTAAATAATACTAAGTTGTGATTTCATTGTTATACTAGTTATATTTTCAGTGACTGCAAAGCAAGTTCTGGAAATTCTTTTTCAAATCCACAGAATGATGGAGAGCATAAATGCTCTAAGAATCTTCACGAATCCAAATTTGCAAATGTGATAATAACTCAATTAGGCACTGTGTCATATCTCTACAGTACCTGCATTGCTGGCAGCAGTCTGTAGAGAATAATAGTGAGGAGGGTTCAGTCTGGAGTACTCAATGCTTTTGATCATAACTCTAGCAAGGTAAAAAATTTTTGGTGATAAGATATTATCAGAATGCTTTTCACAGCATACTAGAGTGATCTGGGTCCTACTTTTCACAGGTAGAGGGAAGGATTTGCTTTGCCTGCTCATCAAGAAGCCTTCCCTTGATTAGGAAAACATGTCAAACTATCGTCCTGTTTCTAATACGTTCCTTGATAAATTGATTGAGCTTGCCATTTTTGATCAATTTTTTTTTTTTCTGAAGTGGAGTAATGTTTTACCATGTGTTCAATCTTCATATTGACAATTTCATTAAGCTCAGATGGATTTGTGTAAAGTTTGATTTCATACTGAATACCTGTTTAGGAAATGTATCACTGCTAATTTTGCTGGACACCTCTGCTGCATTTGATACAATTGATTATGAATTACTGGTAAGTGATCTTTTTGGCTATACCCTTAGGGATACTGCATTGTTGCATCTGAAATCCTACCATTCTGGTCAGTCACATCAAGCACTAGTCATGATTCTGTATTTGATTCGTCACCCTTACTGTACAGCATTTCTTAGGGCTCTGTTTTTGGACTGGTATTGTTTATATTAGTGGCCTGCCTTACTGTTGGATGCTCATGGGGTTTATTATTTTTATGCTGATGATATACAGGTCTAGACCTGGGTTCTAAATGTGGTAGATGCAAAAAAATCTGATTTAGCTCTTTTTTTTTTTTTTCTGGATATTCGGACTTGGATGACAAATAGAAAATTGAAACTAAATGAGGGCAAGACAGAGATTATGATTGTTAGGGAAAACCTAAGGGTTGTACAAATTGGAAATTTTGGAGCCTTCAATTGTGGTATTGTCAATTTGTAGCCTATGGAATCAGTGAGAGATCTAGATGTTACCTGAATTCTTCAGTGTCATTTGTTGGACATACAAACCAGATTGTTAAATCTTGCAATTTTCATATTTGTAATCTCTCTGCAGTCAGAAAATATCTTGAAAAGCAGAGTATCTTGGTCCTTATCCATGCATTTATTTTCTCTCGAACTGATTTTTGCAACTGTTTGTTCGCAGGTTTGCATAACTTGCTAACAAAACTTCTGTCTGCACTAAATCGCACAGCTAGACCAACATTTTCGCTCCTAACTGGAGTTCCCACTAGTCCCTACTTGTATGACCTTTACTCTCTATCAAGGCAAAAATTGAATTTAAACTCCATTTATTGACATTTAAGTAATTAAGTTTAACAGACTCGGTACTTGCCGATGTGTTTGTATCAGGCTCAGGAATGTTTCTGTGAATTGTCCTAGAACCTTTTGGACTGATTGAGCCTCATCCTGTGGAAAGAAATCATTGCAGGAAGCTTTTTCTTGTCCAGCTCCTAGATTGTTCGAGAGGTTGCCAGTGTGTATTAAGAGTAAGGAATCTGTCTATGCTTTAAAGTCTCAGTTGAAAGCACATCTCTTTTCTCGATATTATGATCCTGATGATCATACTGTCACTCTCGAATATAAACTTTAGTATTTCTTCTCCATCGTTGTTGTTGCATTTATGGCTTGGTGTGCAGAACTTGTGAATTTCCTAAAAGAAGAGGTACTCAAGAATAGCAAGATCCCAAATTATTATTATTAAAAGTTAATGACATATTGGCCGTCCACTGCCAAAGGTGTTTTTTTTTTTTAATTTTATGTTGTCTTTTTCATCCCCAGACAACGGCAACACCAGCAAAAGCATGGAGAGGCACGTTTTGATGTGGGACAAGTTCTCTTCACAGAAGCAACCACACCAACAAGCACATTCACAGTGCCATTCTCAATCAGTTCTATTAATACATCAACTAAGCCTAGCACATCATTTGTTACAATTGAAGCCAACAATTCAGTTCCCAACACAGTTATCTCAATAAATACAATACCTATAAATAGTATAAGAACAAACAGCAGCCCACCTGGTTTAGATGTAACTACAACAAAGATTTCTAGAGCTACAAACACTGGTATAACCAGCTTTTCACCAAGTACTGTAACTTACAATATCAGCAAACCAGATGTTTCAGATATGCTTGGAACTGATGATTTGAAGACTGCCATTACTAACACTACATCACTGCTGTTGCCTGCTGAAAATGATAGTGTTACAAGTGCCTCTACCATGAATCCCTCAATTTGGCCATTCACAATGAGACCAGTACATATTGTTTTAAAGACTAAAAAGAATGAACATATTTTGTCACCAGTCCCTTTACCTGTAAATTGCACAGACAATTTATCTAAACAAAGTAATGAAAATACAGAAGAGATATTTGGCGAAGAAACTCCAGCAATATTATCAGAGCTTGATTCTAAGAGATTCTGCCATGAAAAGGAACTCCATGAGAACACTCCTGTCAATGAAATGAAAAATGTAGCTGAAATCACTCAGGTTGCACCTCCTTTGCCTCAGATAACATCTGAAGATAAAAATGCTAATGATGCACTAATCACCAATTATGCAGACTTCACATTTCAGAAGAGTAAAATTCCCTCCATAAATGAATCCAGTGATAGTCTGTCTTTAAATCTTGATAAAGACAATAGTCTCTTATTTCACAATTCATCTCCTACACTTAATGGTTTAAGTAATATTTCTGCAGTAACCAAAGAAAGTATTAAGAGCAGCGAAACATCTAGGATAGTTGAAGTAATTCCTCCAAAATTAACTGAAAGTAATATTGTGCATCCTTCACTTGTTAATAATAATATTTTCCGACCACCTGTTTCAAAAATAATACCTGCTCATAATCGACAAAGGAATGAACTTCTGGAACCAAGCGATGATATTCCTTCAGGACCCTTGCAACTGACTACTACTGAGGCCTTTGCACAGATATTCAATGAATCTTCACAACCAGTTAGTGCCCCCTCATCGTCTACAGAAACAAACAAGAGTATTTATCTTGTACAAAAAACAAGTAAACACCCTCATCCAAGTGACAGAGTTCGAGTTACTCCTAAACATATAAAAATGGTCAAAACTATTGGGGGAACACAAAGAGCAAAGAGCCCATTACCAATATCCCTCATCTCTACGAGAACCTGTAGAATTTTCACGTCAAGCAGAGGACCAAGATGTTACACCAATACAAATAAATAGCCAGCCACAATATCAGAGAGTTCACAATAATTTTAACCATTCTTTACAAAACAGAATGAGGCCTCAAAGGTTCCTTGTGCCACGACCTACAATTCCTCGACGTTCCTTCCAGCCAGGAGTTATCAGAAGGCAGCATCAAAGTCATCCACCTCCTTCAAAACCTCAGTCAAATAGTTCTCAGGGAATCCTTTCTCAGTTCAGCCCAGTTAGTGGCTTGGAGTTTAAATTGTTAAAAAATATACAAACACAATCAGAAAGCAATGATACAAATATTTTACCTCAATTTAGTCCAACAAGTGGTCTTAAGTTCATCCTAACACAGACTGATAATAATTCAAGTATTAAATTTAATAGTAATGGCAAAGAAAATGATAATGTTCTCAATTTACATCCTGATCCTTTCCATATGGTTTCTGGTCCCACATTTTTCAGCCCCTTACCCAATGAAACTCAGAATTTGCAAATTACTACAGAGGAAAATGAAGGCAATGTGTATAATACATCTGTTCAGATACCATTAAATTATAAAAAGAATCTTACTTTATTAACAGAAAATGTAAATAATCTGAAAACAGTGACTGAGAGCAGAATGAACAAGAAACCGTCACTGGAAGTCAATGACAAAAATGACTATCCAATATCTCTTGTACATACCTTGAGGACTGTTCCTATTCATGTACCTGAAACAGGAAAAATAATGTCTACTACCGTTTTATTCAATGTAAATGACCAGTCTTCTACTACATCTCCATTTTCAACTCAGATGGTACTATCTAGAGTAGATGAGACGACAGAGAAAGTCATGCAGACCACTTCTTGGTTTCCCAATTCTCATGATAAAGTCGAAGACAATCCTCCCATGGCATTCACTAGTGATGGTTTACTCACTAACAAGGAGTCACTGATAAGGCCAGTAAGTCAAAGGAGAGAAATTGAATCGGCTACTTTTGAAGAAATAGATAATAATCAGGAAAGACATATTCTGCTTAATCAGTCTGACTTACTCGATACTTTGTATATCAAACAATTTACTAAAGAGGCTTATGATAAGCCCTCTAGTACATCAGTTACATCTGACTCACTGGATACTTTGCATATCAAACAGTTCAATAAAGATATTTATAAACCATCTGGTACTTCAGCTACAATAGCACCAATGGCTAATGACTATAGTTTATCTTCACCACTTAACAGAAATGAGGAAGCTAGAAAGTGATATCCTAAAAGATCTACCATATTTTCTGAAGGGTTATGTGACGGTAGATATATCTAATTTGCACAGACATAATAATGTGGCTATTAGTAACAGCTATGGAAATGTGGTTTACCAGCAAAAGCAAATAATGTTAGATGATGTAGAAGATTATTTGTAATTTTGAAACATTTGTAAATTAAATATCAATACATTAGACCAATAAATGTTGTAAAAATGAGTAGGAAGTCCAGGTAGAATCGTTCAAGGGAACGACTCTAGTCATTCCCTTGAATGGATCTACCTGGATTTCCAATTCATTTCTGCAACATTGCAAGCTCCTGATGTGTTGATTGCAATATGCAAGGCCTAGAGCTATCATTCAACTCCCCATTTTTTATTTTTTTTTGCATTTTGTAGTGCTTGCTCATGATTATTGTAAAGTGTTGTATAATAAAAAAAATCACCTTGAACTGAACTAAATATACAATAACCCTAAGGGCAAAGTTGCCATCATGATTCATGAAACTGTAATAATGCAAATAACCCACACATAGAAGAGAGGAGCTTATGACAACGTTTCGGTCCGACTTTGACCATTTACAAAGTCACACTAACGAAAAGGAGAGGAGGAGTGTATGTAAGCAGGAGGTGGTAGTAGTAGTGGGAAAGGTAGTAAAGAGGAGGAGGAGGAGCCAGTCAAATACTAAGAAAGAAGAGCACTACAAGGGAGCTAGGTGCCCACAGAGGGTAAGAGCAAGAACACAGAGAGGGGGAAAAAGTAAATAAATAATGAAGGAACAAATACACAAGGCAGAAGAAAGACTACCCAAAGGAAAAAAAGGAAAGAGGAAAGGGGGAGAGGGAGAAGAATAAAAAGGAGGAATCAGGTTATTTATAGAATTGCAAAAAAATCACAGTATGTGTAGGGGCTTAAACCGACAGGTTCAAGCCCCACCCCTTCTATGATTTCTTAGGGCAAAGCCTACACTTCACTATCATAGCATTCCATTAGGTCAATCATATTTACCCCAATTTCACAAACCTCACAAAAATTATGTAAAATGCTCACACTATCACCTTCACTGCTTCTGCATTGCAAATCCAAATCTTGCAGTGCTTTTCTAGACCTTCCTTTTAAACTAAGTTGCATCTTGGAATCAAACAATATCTAAATTTGCTTATTCTGTATTTGTTTTTACCTCTTTTGTCATAAATATAAACTATACAAAACTACACACATCTCATTTGAACACTGATTATACAGAAATATTTTTTAAACTTTAAGTTTTCATTAACAAAATACAGCTGACCCTTAACCCTTTCAGGGTCCAAGGCCCAAATCTGGAGTCACGCACCAGTGTCCAAGAATTTAAAAAAAAAAAATTTGTTATTTTTTCTTATGAAATCGTAGAGAATCTTTTTGTGAAGGTAATAAAACAAAAAGTACGAAAATTGGTGGAAAATTGACGAAATTATGCTCTCGCGAATTTTGATGTGTCAGCGATATTTACGAATCGGCGATTTTGCCGACTTTGACTCCCATTTTAAGCCAATTACATTATTCCAATCAACCAAATTCTTAGCTATTTCACTAGTATTACTTCTATTCTATCGATTGAGCACAAGAAATCGCCAAGTCAACTGTTTCAACTACAAAATAAAGTGATCGGAAATTGTTAATTTGGCCAATTTAACACAAAGTTCAAAATATTCCAATTTCAAAATAGGGTCCAGAATGAACAATGTAGGCATTCCTGGCACTAAACTAACATTTCCTCTGTTCATTAGTTATGTTTTGAGGCTTTACAAATAAATTCCATTTTGATTTTTTATTCACATAATGAATTTTTATTCACACCAAAAAATAGAAGATTTACTGTTATGCAATACTGTAATAATTGTATAAATATCATCACCATATCTGTGAATGTATATTAGACCCACCAGCTGACGTGTATTAGACGTGTGAGGTCGTTTGTTTACTCTTGAATATCGGCAAAAATTTAACATTTCCGCTACTTTGAGCTCAGTTTCAAGCCATTTCCAATGCTAAAACCAATCAAAATCATCTCTATTTCTGTAATATGTCTTCCATTCTATCAAATGAGACCAAGAAATCGCAAATACAACTATAAAAAACATACGAAAAAACACTGCAAAGTTGCTGTTTTAATCGAAAAATCATGATTTCATTTTTTTTCTCTCATTATACACAGTGTGCTGCAGGATGTGTTTTATGTGGTGCACACATACCACATAGATGTATTCTCTCATATCTAGGCCCAAATGTACCACTCACAGTTTATCAGAGTGAGCTGAACTCATGGCGTAGATCTACGGTTTGGACCCTGAACGTAAAGCCGTAGATCTACGGGACGGACCCTGAAAGGGTTAAACAACATGGGTTTGAACTGCATAGGTCCATTTATATGCAGATTTCTTCAATAAATATATTGGAAATTTTTGACCGAAAAAATTAAGAAAAAGTTAGGTATTTAATGTATGCATAAAATATATGTAGATACTAGTCTATTTTATCATTTACTACCATAAAATATACACAAATCTATTATAAAAAGTTAAAATTTATCAGAATTTATTATGCACATAAACAATTACAGATTGTACATGTTGCATTTGCAGTCAAGAGAAATGTAAACAAATGTAAGGATGAAATATTAAATCATAATAAATATTCATTTTGATGTCTAGTGCAAGTAAAACATAACATCTACAATGTTATGTACGTATCATATAAGACAATATTGATGTCGGTACTGACAGACAGACAGACGATTCATCTTGTAAACAGATGACATAAACTTGCGGTATTGATGAATACAATTTCTCTAATTTCCTTTATTATAAGAATATAGTACATAATACATCTTTCTTTCAACACCGAGGTGGGGTGGCCCAAAAGGAAAAACGAAAGTTTCTCCTTTTACATTTAGTAATATATACAGGAGAAGGAGTTACTAGCCCCTTGGTCCCGGCATTTTAGTCGCCTCTTACGACACGCATGGCTTAAGGAGGAAGAATTCTGTTCCACTTCCCCATGGAGAACATAATACATATAGCATACAAAATGTGTGTTAATCGACTGTTATTGGTAGGGCTTCAGGTCAACAGTAGGCCATTAGTAGTTAAGTTTTTGGGAAGTCAAAGTTATACACGGATTTTCGACTGCATAGGGGGTCGGCACCCCTGATCCCCATGTTGTTCAAGGGTCAACTGTATAACTTTCAGCTACACAAACAAATGATTTGTATTTTAATTTTAATCATCTTTCTGCATCTCACACTGAAGATCATGTTCTACTATACTGTTATTGCACTTGTATGTGCTAAGCATTTTTGTGATGTTATTGTAACGTGGTAATTTTTTAGAAGATTGCATTTATATCTTCCTTCATGTAGCCTGCTATTTTAATCAGGGAGAAGTGCTAAACCCACATGGGTTACATAACATCCGGGTAATTCAAAGATTCAGGTTCAGTCTAAGGGAATGATAAGTCCACTTCCTTGGATCAAGAGGACCTCACTTGGGTGGTCAACTATTAAAAAACAAAATATACAATTTAGTCAAATTAAGAGCTAGTGGAGGTATAAGAGAAGAGAAGGGCACTGTAGAGACCTACTGCCCACAGGTAAGGGCCAGTAGACATCATACAGTGACCCTCTGTTCTCTTGTTCTTATGTACTTCCACTACTACTACTACTAATTCTTTCACTGCTTCTACATTCTTAAATATTCTGTCTACTGCTAGTAATACCATTACTACTTCTACCTTACTACTGCTACCACTGCCACTTCTGCTACCATTACTACTACCACCACTGCTGCTACCATTATTATTATTACTAATGTCATTCTTCTACTACCATCCCACCATTACTATGACTACAACTACAACTGTTTTCTCCCCCCCTCCCTCTTCCTGACTAGTAATCTGACATTCTCTTCTTTTTTTCTCTCACTCAGTTGTGACTTGATAATGGTCCAGGGTAGACCAAAATGTTGTCTTAAGTTTCCTCTCCTATGTGCAGGTTATTTGTGAATGATTCTTATCAACTCTAGCACAATCCTAAACCTTGAATCTTTAATTGCTGACTTGACACACATCTCAACAGAAGCCAGGAAATCCTATGCCATTTTATCTTCATAAATTATCATCTGCAAACATTTTGCAGTACACTTTCTTCACATTCAAAACATTTTCATCTATTTTTGTTTTCAAGGACATTTTTTTATATAGTTATTGTATTTCATCTGAAACTTTGTTCATAAAGCTGTTCTTGAACTAACAGATACAGTATGTTGGTCACCATAACATTTGAAAAAAGGGGAAAATAATATATCTATAATCATACACAGGGACAAAATAGACACCAAGAAAACTCATAAAACCATCATTAATAAAGCAATACAGACAAAGGTAGCAATGATAGATTACAAAAGATTACAAAGGCTACCATAATAATTTTTGAGTAATAAATTACTGGGATACTATCCTACACATTTTAATCTTAGTTTTGTACTATTATTTACTTAAACTGCCACAAATCCTCCATAATAAAAAACTTGCTAAAATGCTCTTTTAAATCATGATTAGATTCAAATTCTTCATTAATTAGCATTTAAGATTTATAATTAGCTCTGAAACTGCTGTGCTATTTCCATATTACAGTACAGTATTACAAAATAGGTTATTTATCCAGGGCAGTACATAATATGAATATCCTGTTATTTATCCAGGGCAGTACATAATATGAATATCCTATTATTTATCCAGGGCAGTACATAATATGAATATCCAAGATCATAAATTTTTTAAAGAACAAGAAAGTCTTAAGTACAGTACCTGTATGTGAAAAAATCAAGAAATACTCATACAATGTAAAATTTAGTCATGGAATTGAATAACCATTTTTTTTCTATTATCTTTGCTAATTTTACAAAAGTTAGCAAAAAAACAAGTAGCATCAATATTAGATCTGATTATATATTAAAATCAAACAAACCATGTAACAAAAGCAAATTATGTTGTTATAATACTATGCTTTTCAGAATCGCTTTACTTCGAAATAACTTAAAATGAAAACGGATATGTAGTAGTAAAGTCTGATGCTCTACAGTACAAGTACAGTACTGTACTATGTTACTGACTGTAATGTCAATAGTATGTACAGTACAAGTACTGTACATACTATTGACTATAATGTTTTATTGAAAATGTTCCTCATCATCATAAAATAGTAAAACAGGCAATAATTTTGACTATTATTGAGCTGACAGCATTCCATTTTCCAGATATTTTATTAATTGTAGTTTTTACTGTCAAGTGAACCACAGACTCTACCCTACTTACGAACATACAGACTCATGAACAGACAGTTTTTATTACAGTATTTATTATTAAAATATGCTTTAGTACTAAGAACCATACATTACTGATACTGTACAGTAATATCTTTAAGTTTTCAATGAACAACAGCACAAAAAGAGAGAGAACAATAAAAACAATGATGATATTAAAAACAATAATAATAATTGTAACAATAGAAAAATGACAAAATAACGACTTACGAGTAATTCAAGATATGAACAGCCTTCTGGAACGTAACTTGTTCGTAAGTTGGGAGGCATCTGTAGTATATGAAATATTTCACATTACAGCTATGCCAAATTTCTTGACTGTCTTAAAATCACACATCATTGTCTCTGATACATAAATCTGGTTTCTTTATGTGAGATATGACAATAATTCTTTCCAGTGCATTTTGTAAGATTTACACTTAATTTTCCATACACTTTTCAATAAGGATATCAAGTTTTACACTCATTCAGAGGTTCTGCTCGAATATTTTCAAGATCTAGTCTTGAATCCAAGTCTTCATCAACTTCTCCAATGAGAGCTCTGCAAGAAAGTTTACTAAATTCTACTTATACTGTATTATTATTAAATAAATTATTTAAGAAATTAATTGCTTTTTAACAAAGACAAGAGCTGTCAGAAAATAGCCTTTTAAAAACAACTTCAAATAAATTGAAATATCAGAACTTTGTTAAACTCTTAATAAATACAAAATTATGAAAATACAGTTCTGTATTATACCAAAAATTTAATGAACAAACTTAGTGTTAAAATTAAGTTATTACACACTTAATAAATACAAAATTATGAAAATACAGTTCTGTATTATACCAAAAATTTAATGAACAAACTTAGTGTTAAAATTAAGTTATTACACACACACACACACACACCAAACACTATATCTACAGAGACCATGATAATTTATGGGACAAACTGCATACAGAACAATGACTGGTCTTTTAACCTTTTGACTGTTTTGGTCGTATATATACGTCTTACAAGCCAGTGCTTTTGACATGTTTATACTCCAAAATTCTAGTGGGTTCAAATCAAGCTGGTAAGCCCACATGTGAGAGAATGGGTCTGTGTGGTCAGTGTGCGCAATATAAAAAAATCCTGCAGCACGCAGTGCATAATGAGAAAAAAAAACTCCGACCATGTTTTTGGATTAAAACACCAGCTCTGAGGTGTATTTTTGTATAGTACTTATGGTTGTATTCTCGTTTTTTTTTATCTCATTTGATAGAATGGAAGACATATTATAGAAATAGAGATGATTTTGATTGGTTCCATGATGAAAAAGACCTTGAAACTGAGCCCAAAATAGCAGAAATGTTCGATTTTTGCCGATGTTCAAGAGTAAACAAATGACATCACCGTCCAATAAGTGTCCAATTAGCCATTCTAATACGCAGTCATGAATGGGTTGACATTATTTATACATTACAATAATGCAGTAATCTGCATAACAGTAAATCTCCTATTTTTTGTGTGTATAAAAATTCAAAATAGAAAGCAAGAGTAATATAAGAGGGGCCTGGAAATGTGACTGATGAACAGAGAAAATATTATTTTAGTGCCAGGAATGTCTGCATTGTTCATTCTGGACCCTATTTTGAAATTGGCATCTTTTTTAATTTGCGTGAAATTGGCCAAATTACCAATTTCTGACCACTTTATTGGGTAGTTGAAATTGGTAAATGGGTGGTTTCTTGTACTCAATTGAAAGAACAAATGAAGTTCTAAAGAAATAGCAATGAGTTTGGTCGACTGGAACAATGCAATTGGCGGAAAATAAGGCTCAAAGTTGGCGATATTGCCGATGCGTAAACATCAACTTTGCGAGAGCGTAATTCTGTAAGTTTTCCATCAAATTTCGTACTTTTGGTGTCATTAACATCAGGAAAAGGTTCTCTATCACTTCCTAAGATTTTTTTTTTTTTCAAAAATTTTGCCACACAGAGAGACACTTTAGGATTTGGGGTTGCGACAGTCAAAGCACTAAATGCAGTATAGTATATACTGTGCTATGTTGAGTCCCCTTAACCCTGTGACTGTCGCAAGCCCCTTTCTGAAACTGTCATTCTATTTCCTGATGTCGAAAAGCATTCAAAAAAAAAAAAAAAAAAAAAAAAAAAACTTTTTCTTACCAAAATGTTAGAATTATTTTACCAAGTGTTTTAACCCTAAATTTTTGCCATCAGTACTTACCGAGATATAGAGGCACAAAGTTGGCAGAAAATGAGCCGCATATGGCAACAGCAGCGAATGCCGCTCACCTGGTATTCTTTTATTTACTCCAATTCAAAGGTTTCTTGTATTTTCCAATATTTTTCTTTTCTAAGTAACTTATGTGGCCTGTGAGACCAAAGTAAGGTGCATTGTTCAAATATACACTAATTGTATACAACACAATAACTGCAGAAACATTATCATTATTATATTGTTTACAAAACTTGTTTACACAAACCAACAATACAAAACATTGTTTATTACCATTGTTCTATAATATATATACATATGTACAGTCACTGAACACTTTCCTAGAACTGCTGCAGCTTGTGGAACTCTTTGAAACATGGGTATATGCAGAGTGGTACTTGACACTCCTCACACATAAAACGAGTGTCTCTGCATTTTTGTGGGTGTTTTGTGGTATGTGCACATACAACACACCTCTTCTGAGCACTTTTCTTGAAACCAGTAGGAGGCAGTTGTATGGGGTAGTGATCACCAGGCCTCAGACGAGATGGCATGTGTTGGTAATTTCGTGGGCGCTGGTCTATTGCAGGTGTTGCTCCTTGGTACTTGAATATTATTTGTCTGATGACTGACAAACAAAATTCACCATATTTTGGTTTGTTGTTGGTCTTCAACTTGTATATGTTATAAGCATTCAGCATGGAAATATCAAGAAGATGGAAAAAAAGTTTTATGTATCACTTATAACTCTTGCGTACACAATCAGGAAGCCCAATCTGCATGTCACATTTGTCCGCTAAGCGCATATTGAGGTTGTAGTCCATGACAGCTGCAGGTTTTAGAATGGGTTCATTGGTCTCTCTATTCTGCCTGCCATTGTCTGCCATTTTGTTTCAGTGAACTGATGTCAACAATGTGACATCATGTTTGCCATGCCACCAAAATGCCATGATGTCATTGGCAGCAAAGGCCTGTACCTCACCTCTGCGAGTGCCAGCGTCAAACCTAGGTACAGTGGACCCCCGCATAACGATGGCATCACATAGCGATTTTTCCGCATACCGATTACTTTTATCGCAAAATTTTTGCCGCGCATACCGATTAAAAACCTGCTTACCGATTTTCGTCCGAGACGCGTCCAATGTGCCCTCAGCCAGCCTCACATGTGCCGGCCGTCCCATTGTTTACCAGCCAGCCTCCGCGGTAACATCCAAGCATACACTCGGAATATTTCGTATTATTACAGTATTTTCGGTGCTGTTTCTGGAAAATAAGTGACCATGGGCCCCAAGAAAGCTTCTAGTGCCAACCCTACACCTCAAAGGGTAAGAATTACTATAGAAATGAAGAAAGAGATAATTGATAAGTATGAAAGTGGAGTGCGTATAGCCGACCTAGTCAAGCTGTACAAGAAACCCCAATCAACCATCGCTACTATTGTGGGCACCAGAAAGACAATCAAGGAAGCTGTTCTTGCCAAAGGTTCAACTGTGTTTTCGAAACAAAGATCGCAAGTGATGGAAGATGTTGAGAGACTCTTATTGGTGTGGATAAATGAAAAACAGCTAGCAGGAGATAGCATCTCTCAAGCGATCATATGTGAAAAGGCTAGGAAGTTGCATGAGGATTTAATTAAAAAAATGCCTGCAACTAGTGATGATGTGAGTGAATTTAAGGCCAGCAAAGGTTGGTTTGAGAGATTTAAGAAGCGTAGTGGCATCCATAGTGTGATAAGGCATGGTGAGGCTGCCAGTTCGGACCACAAAGCGGCTGAAAAATATGTGCAGGAATTCAAGGAGTACATAGAAACTGAAGGACTGAAACCTGAACAAGTGTTTAATTGTGATGAAACAGGCCTGTTCTGGAAGAAAATGCCAAGCAGGACCTACATTACTCAGGAGGAAAAGGCACTCCCAGGACATAAGCCTATGAAAGACAGGCTTACTTTGTTGATGTGTGCCAATGCTAGTGGTGATTGCAAAGTTGATGAGCTGATAGATCAACTTCAAGAGCAAGAGGCCAGACCTGGGGAAACTGGTTCAGAGGAGGGGAGAGAGAAATTGAAGAAGTTGCCTACTACAAAGATAAAGGAAATCTGTGCTAAGTGGCTTGAAGTGCAAACCTTCATGGATGAAAATCACCCTCACACAGCTATTGCAAGCCGTGCTGGTGATTATTACACTGACAATGTTGTGAAACACTTTAGGCAAGTCATAAAGGAACGAGAGGTACAGGCCACTATGGACAGATATCTTGTGCGAAAGAAGTCCAGTGACTCTGAAGCTGGCCCTAGTGGCATTAAAAAAAGAAGGGAAGTAACCCCAGAAAAGGACTTACTACCTCAAGTCCTAATGGAAGGGGATTCCCCTTCTAAACAGTAAGAAGATAATGCTCTCCCCTCCTCCCATCCCATCAATCATCACCAGATCTTCAATAAAAGTAAGTGTCATTTAATTGTGCATGCCTTTTTCAGTTTGTGTGTATTAAAATTAACATTTCATGTGGTAAAAAAAAATTTTTTTCATACTTTTGGGCGTCTTGCACGGATTAATTTTATTTCCATTATTTCTTATGGGGAAAATTCATTCGCATAACGATTATTTCGCATAACAATTATCCCTCTTGCACGGATTAAAATCGTTAACCGGGGGTCCACTGTATATGCTTATGATTACCATGCACTGTGCCACACACGTCTGTCATGTTCACTTGCAAGAAATCACTGAGTATGGGGCTTGTGTACCAGTCATCAGTATATAATATATGCCCCTTACCAAGATATGGTTCCATCATTGTTCTAACCACATCACCAGATACCCAATAACTTCCTGGTATCTCTCAATGTATTACTGCCTGTGTACACAATTATATCCAAAACCAGACCACTTTTGCAGTCACACAGTGCAAATAACTTTATACCAAAGCATTTCCTCTTGCTTGGTATGTACTGCTTGAACGACAGTCTGCCTTTGAACAAAATCAATGACTCATCAATAACAAGCTTCCTGAAGGGATAAAAATACATACAGCACTTTTGTTTCAGGTACATAAATACATTCCTGATCTTATATAATCTGTCACTTCAGCATCAAAAAACAATTCACTGGTATAATATCACTAAAACCTGGGGTTGAAATCAGGCGTTCTGTTGACCAGTATGTGGTGACAGTATGCTTATACAGTGGACCCTTGCCTAACGAACGCATCGCATAACATTAAATTCGCCTAACGATACATTTTAATGCTAACTTTTGCCTCGGCTAACACTAAAAAACTCGCCTAACGATATTCGTTCTCGGGTACCAATTAATATCGTTAGGTGAGGGTCCACTGTACACATGTGGCATAAGCATTATTGTGGCAAAGAACAGTTACATCTCTGCCACAGTTGTATCCTTCCACTGGTGTAGCAGTGACCTTGGTGAAAGAATTGTATTTGCCATGGTGTACTCATAGTATGTGTTGCTTTCCCTGACAATAATTTCCATCAGGGGTTCATCAAAGAATAACTGAAAGCATTCCAGTTCAGTGGCATTGTCACCGTGTACACGATGGCCGTATTCCACTCTGTGTTTCATCAAAGTCATGGGGACTGGGAACAAAATTGTCACCTTGCTGCCAATCCCAGATGTGGTCTGCTGGTGGGTTCTGGATATTGAAAGGTGGTTGTGGTTGTGGATGTTGTGGGAGTGTGGGGGTGGCTGTGGCTATGCTGAGTTAGCAGCGTGGGTAGTAGCGTGGCCCGCTGCTGGTGTCACATGACTCATGCCACCGCCAACACCACCACCAGCATCACCTTCTTACCCACGCACATTGCACATCCCCAATGTAACAATATCATCATCTTCACTCTCAGGTCATGGTGTAGGGCCACGGGATGTACTCCGAGATTTACTCCTTTGCCTTGGAAGGGCACATGGCACACTACCAGAATGCATGCTGCGCCGTACATACTGCTGTTTCACTGGCGAATATTCCCCCTCACTGTCACCACTCGAGCTATTTTCAATAACTTGGAAATCCCTATCATTATCACTTTCACTGCTCAGATCCGAGTCCTGGTACAGGTGAACGTGAATGAGACGGCCCAGCACCAGAGGTGGAAGGTTGTGGGTCATCTGGGTTTTCATCACTAATTACGTTATCCTGGGCACTGCTTTCGGTCACACCCTCTTGAAAACCATGGAATTCACTTTCACTGGCACTTCCATCGCTGTTAGAACTATCACTTGGGAACAGTAGACCTCCAATTTGGCAAAGAGTGAGGTACTTCTTACAGCGAGGCATGGTGAAAATGGACTACCAAGATGGATTTCCCGCAATGCACCACTGAGTCCCAGATTTTTTTTCACAGGGCGCACACCCACCACGCAGACCCATTCTCTCACATATAGGCCTACCAGCTTTCTCCCACTTGATTTGAAGCCGCTAGAATTTACGCGTATTAATATGTCGGAAACATTGGCTCATAAGATGTATATATACGACTGAAACAGTCAAAGGGCTAAGAGTCTATGTGCAACATGGAATCCTAAATGGGCTCAACATAAATGTTAAGTTTTAGATTTCAGTGAGGCACTTATTTACATTTAATGAAAAAGAGGATTCTCTACACTACTTTGGGCCCATAGTAGCCACTTAGCCTCCCATTCACAAACAATACAGCCTAAAAGTGCTAAAAGTCCTTCTTTCCGCTCAACAGTTGGCACCAAGTGATTGTTAATCAAATTCCCAAGTCAATCACATGGATCCTGCCAACTAAGCCCCACCAGTTGTAGGTTTTGACTTGTCATTCACTCGACATAAGAACTTATGTTAAATGGGAATTAGGAGATGGGGAAGGGGATGCCATTTAACAGCAGAGAAAAACCATTTTCCTTTTACAAGGGTAAGTATTTTATGCTTTGTGGAATCAAACGCCATTAGAATCACTTTAACATGGCCCAGACACCTCGTGGAGCCTGCTCCACTAGATCTGGAGTGCTGCTTCCCCCTAGAGCTAAAAAAAATATCCATTGAATGGAAAGGAATTGACTTGGTGTTCAAATTCAAAAGCTGAACTAGCAAGATAGGAGGACATAACATTCCAACCTAGGCTGGTAAAAGTATCTGACATAGAATAGTAAGTGCTAAAAAGTAAATTTTTAAAAAATTACTATACAAAATAAATTAAATACTGATGGTGGCATATCAAAGAACATAAAACTATCCAGCATATAAATTCTACAGTAGTACAACAAATCTCATTCATTAGTTTGATGATTTACTCACACATTATCACCTCTGACGACATAAAGCCCCAGAATAACTTGCTCGACACCTCGATGAGAACTGTAGACCCGCTCGTGACACTCGTCCATGATCAGGTTCACAGTTTGATCAAAGCCTTTCAATGTTCCCTAAATTGTGTAATAAAAATTAAATACAGTATAGCACTGCCATCTAATTATTATTTACTTACAATTAAACAGCAAATAATCCAGAAAAATAATATAAAATGAAAAGATATAAAAATATATCCAGAGTTTTTTTTTAACACATCGGCCATTTCCCACCAAGGCAGGGTGACCCAAAAAGAAAACAATTTCATCATCATTCAACACTTTCACCATCACTCATACATAATAACTGTCTTTGCAGAGGTGCTCAGATATGACAGTTTAGATGTCCCTCTAAACTGCCAATATCCCAAACCCCTCGTTTAAAGTGAAGGCATTGTACGTACTTCCCATTTCCAGGACTCGAGTCCAGCTAAGCAGTTTCCCTGAATTCCTTCACAAAATAATACCCTGCTCACATTCCAACAGCTCATCAGGTCCCAAAAACCATTCATCTCCATTTACTCCTATCTAACACTCTCACACACACTTCCTGGAAGTCCAAGCCCCTTGCCCACAAAACCTCCTTTACCTCCCTCCGTCCAACCTTTTCAAGGACAACCCCTACCCTGCCTTCCTTCTGCTACAGATTTATACGTTCTCCAAGTCATTCTACTATTTTGTTCCATTCTTTCTAAATGATCGAACCACCTCAACAACCTCTCTTCAGTCTTCTGACTAATACTTTTAGTAACTCAACACCTCCTCCCAATTTCCACACTATGAATTCTCTGCATAATATTTACACCACACACTGCCCTTAGACACGACATCTCCTCTGCCTCCAGCCTCCTCCTCGCTGCAGCATTTACAACCCATGCTTCACACCCATATAAGTGTTAGTACCACTATACTCTCATACATTCCCTTCTTTGCCTCCATGGGCAACATTTTTTGTCTCCACAGACGCCTCAACGAACCACTCACCTTTTTCCCTCCATCAGCTCTATGGTTAACCTTATCCTTCATAAACCCATCTGCTGACAAGTCAACTCCCAAATATCTGAAAACATTCACTTCTTCCATACTTCCTCCAATTTTTCTTTATCTAAATTGTTTGATGCCCTCATCAGCTTACTCTTAACTATGCTCACTTTTAACTTTCTACCTTTACACACCCTCCAAAACTCGTACACTAAGATTTGCAATTTTTCTTTAGATTCTACTAAAAGCACAGTATCATCAGCAAAAAGTAACTGTGTCAACTCCCATTTTGTATTTGATTCCCCATAATTTAATCCCACCCCTCTCCCCAACACCCTAGCATTTACTTCTTTTACAACCCCATCTATAAATATATTAAACAACCATGGTCACATTACACATCCCTGTCTAAGGCCTACTTTTACTGGGAAGTAATCTCCATTTGTCCTAGATACCCTAATCTGAGCCTCACTATCCTCATAAAAATTCTTTACATCATTTAGTAACTTCCTACCTATTCCATACACTTGCAACATCTGCCACATTGCTCCCCTATCCACTCTATCACATGCATTTTCTAAATCCATAAATGCAATGAAGACTTCTTTACCTTTATCTAAATACTGTTCACATATATGCTTCAATGTAAACACTTGATTTACACATCCCCTACCTATTCTAAAGCCTCCTTGTTCATATGCAATTCTGTTCTGTCTTGCCTCTAATTAAATACATGTAAAGTTTAAAATACTAAATTACTGAAACATCGTCATAAGTGTCATTCTCGTATGTGCAGGTTATGTGTACTGTTTAGAATAAGAATATTCCCAAGTGTTTGAAAATTTCTAATATTTATCTGTTAATGCCTAAAAAAAACTATTCATACAAGATTATAATGTACCCTTAAAAGCTTATAATGTAATGTACTTCAATGGCTGTGCCTAAAGAAGAAAACACATTACTATCATTCATTCAATAATTGTTTTGCTTGAAGTGTGCTGACACACTTATCTTCATATGTTGCCTAGAATTCCAGTACACAGCAATGCTGAGCAATATCACAATGAATAACACACTTCATAATACTGACTTATTAATTCCAACCCCTGCCTGTAACATAAATGATGGGCAGGCTGGTGAAGACTTTACTCTCCAAAACTATTGGTACTGCTAGCATAAACTTTTAGCAGTATAAGGAGACAATTTCTCAAGCAAATTTCTTGTAGCAAAGTAATGAAAACTCATCAAATCAAGGCTTTTTCATGAAAGATGATAAAAGTTTAATAAAGAAAATAAAAAGAAATTGTTACAGTACTTCTGAGCTAAAATATCTCAGATGATCCTAAATATGGCAATAAAAATTAAATGTTCTTAATTTTAACACAAAAATAAAATGTGGATGAATTCTTGTCATACAAAAGTAAAACACAAAACAGTCCACAAAATATAAGTAGAGGGTTCCTTTTTCTCTTCTTTCTTCTTTCAACAAACTGGCTATATACCACTGAAGCAGGATGGCCCAAAAAGGAAGAAACAAGTCTCTCTTTTTAACTTTAGTAATGTATACAGGAGAAGGGGTTACTAGACTCTTGCTCCCAGCATTTTATTCACTATTAATACTCAGAAGTATAACTGGTAAAATACCAATTGAAAGTGCTGTATTAGGTCACATCAATGGATACTGTATTGTAATACATTTACAAAAACTAAAATTAAAAGCTACAAGCAGTATCATATAAGATGTAGGATACATATGTATATGGTTTTACACCATGTACCTATGTATGTATTTTAATAAAAGTAAATTTCTTGAGAGAAATAAAAAAAAAACATGAGAATATGTACATGAGAATAGTGTTAGAGTGTTCAGCAGAAGTTTGTGGTTACAGGAAAGTGGGTGCGGGAGGGAAGAGGAGCGATTGGTGGAATGATGATGTAAACAGAGTAGTAAGGGAGAAAAAGTTAGCATATGAGAAGTTTTTACAAAGTAGAAGTGATGCAAGGAGGGAAGAGTATATGGAGAAAAAGAGAGAGGTTAAGAGAGTGGTGAAGCAATGTAAAAAGAGAGCAAATGAGAGAGTGGGTGAGATGTTATCAACAAATTTTGTTGAAAATAAGAAAAAGTTTTGGAGTGAGATTAACAAGTTAAGGAAGCCGAGAGAACAAATGGATTTGTCAGTTAAAAATAGGAGAGGAGAGTTATTAAATGGAGAGTTAGAGGTATTGGGAAGATGGGGAATATTTTGAGGAATTGTTAAATGTTGATGAAGATAGGGAAGCCGTGATTTCGTGTATAGGGCAAGGAGGAATAACATCTTGTAGGAGTGAGGAAGAGCCAGTTGTGAGTGTGGGGGAAGTTCGTGAGGCAGTAGGTAAAATGAAAAGGGGGTAAGGCAGCCGGGATTGATGGGATAAAGATAGAAATGTTAAAAGCAGGTGGGGATATAGTTTTGGAGTGGTTGGTGCAATTATTTAATAAATGTATGGAAGAGGGTAAGGTACCTAGGGATTGGCAGAGAGCATGCATAGTTCCTTTGTATAAAGGCAAAGGGGACAAAAGAGAGTGCAAAAATTATAGGGGGGTAAGTCTGTTGAGTATACCTGGTAAAGTGTATGGTAGAGTTATTATTGAAAGAATTAAAAGTAAGACTGAGAATAGGATAGCAGATGAACAAGGAGGCTTTAGGAAAGGTAGGGGGTGTGTGGACCAGGTGTTTACAGTGAAACATATAAGTGAACAGTATTTAGATAAGGCTAAAGAGGTCTTTGTGGCATTTATGGATTTGGAAAAGGCGTATGACAGGGTGGATAGGGGGGCAATGTGGCAGATATTGCAGGTGTATGGTGTAGGAGGTAGGTTACTGAAAGCAGTGAAGAGATTTTACGAGGATAGTGAGGCTCAAGTTAGAGTACATAGGAAAGAGGGAAATTATTTCCCAGTAAAAGTAGGCCTTAGACAGGGATGTGTGATGTCACCGTGGTTGTTTAATATATTTATAGATGGGGTTGTAAGAGAAGCAAATGTGAGGGTCTTGACAAGAGGCGTGGAGTTAAAAGATAAGGAATCACACATTAAGTGGGAGTTGTCACAGTTGCTCTTTGCTGATGACACTGTGCTCTTGGGAGATTCTGAAGAGAAGTTGCAGAGATTGGTGGATGAATTTGGTAGGGTGTGCAAAAGAAGAAAATTAAAAGTGAATACAGGAAAGAGTAAGGTTATGAGGATAACAAAATATTAGGTGATGAAAGATTGGATATCAGATTGGAGGGAGAGAGTATGGAGGAGGTGAATGTATTCAGATATTTGGGAGTGGACGTGTCTGCGGATGGGTCTATGAAGGATGAGGTGAATCATAGAATTGATGAGGGGAAAAGGGTGAGTGGTGCACTTAGGAGTCTGTGGAGACAAAGAACTTTGTCCTTGGAGGCAAAGAGGGGAATGTATGAGAGTATAGTTTTACCAACACTCTTATATGGGTGTGAAGCATGGGTGATGAATGTTGCAGCGAGAAGGCTGGAGGCAGTGGAGATGTCATGTCTGAGGGCAATGTGTGGTGTGAATATAATGCAGAGAATTCGTAGTTTGGAAGTTAGGAGGAGGTGCGGGATTACCAAAACTGTTGTCCAGAGGGCTGAGGAAGGGTTGTTGAGGTGGTTCGGACATGTAGAGAGAATGGAGCGAAACAGAATGACTTCAAGAGTGTATCAGTCTGTAGTGGAAGGAAGGCGGGGTAGGGGTCGGCCTAGGAAAGGTTGGAGGGAGGGGTAAAGGAGGTTTTGTGTGCGAGGGGCTTGGACTTCCAGCAGGCGTGCGTGAGCGTGTTTGATAGGAGTGAATGGAGACGAATGGTTTTTAATACTTGATGTGCTGTTGGAGTGTGAGCAAAGTAACATTTATGAAGGGGTTCAGGGAAACCGGCAGGCCGGACTTGAGTCCTGGAGATGGGAAGTACAGTGCCTGCACTCTGAAGGAGGGGTGTTAATGTTGCAGTTTAAAAACTGTAGTGTAAAGCACCCTTCTGGCAAGACAGTGATGGAGTGAATGATGGTGAAAGTTTTTCTTTTTCGGGCCACCCTGCCTTGGTGGGAATCGGCCA